GCTGGGGGAGGGGGGTTTGTGCTCTCTTCCGGGACTATCGTCCCTGGATAGCACACACTCACCCGTCCAGATGGAACTCTTCAGCACCTAAACAGGGCCGCCTGGTAGCCCAGTGATCCAGGGACAGAAGGAAGGACAGGGCAGGCAGTGCAGGATCCAGGAGAGCACAGGAGCCCCTGGAGCCCAGGCTGAGGGTGCCGGGCTCTCTTACTGGGGACCTTGAGGCTCACTGCTCTGGGTGGGTAGCCTTAGAGTAGGCTTTTTTTTTTTTAAGTTAAAAAGTTATTTTGTTCTTAGCTTTTCAATATTTGTATAGTGGGTATAAAAGTCTAGCTTTGTATTTCCTTCCTTTCAGCTATCTGAAAGGTATTCTGTTGTCTTTGGGTTGTCATAGTTCTTTCACTAACTTTCAAACCAGTGACAGTTCTGGAATGTGTTCGGGAAGTTCAAGTCTCCTAAAAGAGTTGTGAGTGTTCCCAAATAGGTGGGAGTGCTGTGCTCTTAGCTGTTGAGCTGGGCCATATTCACATTGTTTCCCCTCTGCAATTTCAAATGCAAGTTTCCTTTTCCCACAGGATTCCATTGCTATACCGTGACCTATTTTCCATTGTCTCAAAACTGTAATTCATATATTTAATTGATGTTCTCGTGTAACAGGACAAAACTGGGTTTATTGCTCATGATTAAAAGAGCAATGCATTCTTTCAGAAATGAAGGTTCTTTGTACATACTCAGATCTCTAGCCCTACCTTTGAGGCTAGTGGTTAAAAATGAGCATTTGTTCGGCCTGCATCTCTATTTTTGTAAACTTTACATTCCGAAGGAAGAAGAAATTTAATAATTAAACAAATCAAAAAGATAATTTAAGAGATGAAATGTGAAGATAGTACCATGGGATGGAAATGATGGAGCAATAAGGTAAACACATTTTAAAGGAGCACTCAGGCCTCACTGCGGTGATAACAGTTGGCCTGAGACTTGATTAGAGGAAACAGAAATCACCAGTCTCTATCTAATGCAACTTCCCTCATTCTTTGACATATTATCTGTAGTTGTTTTTCACAGAATTGAGTCTTTGACTTACAAGTATAATAGAATTGTCATTTGGTCTTTTTAAAGAAACTTTTGCCGGTGTCCTGCATAAAAGAAGCTCATTTTGCTTACTGTGTGTGCTGAAGTCACCACTGATGGCAATACCTATAAAGCTGGTGCTTGCTGTTTGGCCTTAGTAGCTCAGTTGACCTATGTTTGAAATTTCCTTTTGTTCTTGCCTTCCCGAAACTGTGTTTTTGTTTGTTTGTTTGTTTTGTTTTTCCAATCTCCTTTGTTAATTCCTCTTCTGTGCTAATTTTCCCAGTCTGGTCTTAGGTGTAAGTCTTTTCCTTAAATAGCCTCATGGTGTCTTTGATCACCATCTGTTTGCTCATGATTTCCAAGCATTTGTTAACTTGGGCATGTCTTCTGAACTTGAAATTTACTTGGCATTCACTAGGCTTTTTGAAAAGAACTCGTTGATATGTCTTGCAAAAGCTCCTTCAATATCAATGGCACCTGTTGCTCATGGTAATAACCCATTCAGTTAATAATATCTTAATTATTTAGTTAAAAATAATAATTCAGGCCGGGCGATGGTGGCTCGCACCTTTAATCCCAGCACTCGGGAAGCAGAGGCAGGCGGATCTCTGTGAGTTTAAGGCCAGCCTGGTCTACAAGAACTAGTTCCAGGACAGGCTCTAAAGCTGCAGAGAAACCCTGTCTTGAAAATAATAATAATAATAACAACAACAACAATGATAATAATAATAATAATTCAGTTAAAAATATCTTTCATCCGCTGTCCAGTATTTCATTGTTCATAGTTCTTTGAACTGTGTTCACAGTCCATTCTCCTTTCCATGACCTCTTAGATCGCTTTCTATTGATCATGTGCACCCATTATTGCACCCCACAGATGTTCATGATTTTTCAAAAGCCATGATTATTGTAAGATAAAAATCAGTAACTTGCCATTGCTTTTCCTGTTAGAGTGAAATCTTTTCTGTGGTTTTCAGAGTCTACTGAAGACTGCTCAGTCTCCCTGCACACTTAACCCATGCCAGTTCTCTTTATTTCCTGTCTTCCAGCATGTCTTCAGGTCTTAAATTCTCCAAATGTTTGGTCAGCGCCTTTGCATGTGGTGTTCTTTTACTTGGTTGACTCTGCTCTTTCTTCTCCCCAATTCCTACACTGTGTTCTCCAGGCAGCCTGCCCATACTCTGTCTTCCCTAGTTTACGGGCTCCATCTATATGATGTCATGCCACTTACTTTCCACATTTGTGATTAGTCACAACTATAAGTGACGTAGGGTCTTTAACAAAATTATAGACTTCATAAGGGGTGAAATTGTGTCTGTCCTGTTCCCCATGATCATCAAGCAGTTGATAAATATTCGAGAAAAGAGGCACAGAGAGGTTGTGTCACTTGCCAAGTAAGAGGCAGAGACATGATCTAGACATGGGCTGGTCCTTGTGTTGAGACGCTGCAGTCGTAGCACTGGTGTCACAGCCTCCTATAAGATTCCATGGAAAGTCCTATGATTTCTTACTTTATCTACTGCTTAGCAACTACATTTCCCCCGTTGACTCCATTTAGCTGAGTTAAGGTTGATCCCTGTGTGTAGAACTCATGTGTTGGTTAACTACTTCCACAGCCGCTCTGGCAACCCATGTGCTTTAGGTACCAGACACCCACAGAATAGTGATGATTGGCTGAGATTTAGGGATTTGGCTTGATCTGCAGATGTGCTTTAGTATGTACATAGCTTTGTGAAAAAAATCATACCTGGCTTTCAAATGAACTCATTTGATATTCAGTCTTTAATTTTTAGTAGTAAGTTTTGATCCCCCCATGAGAAATTCACAAATTCAAATGAACAAATGTTTCATTTTTTTTTACCTTTAGAACATAATAAAACTGGAATGGAATTTTAAGAGTTCATTTTTGAAATAAGTTTACCACATGAAATAAAGTGAAACACTGCTTTGAAAATAGATGTTTTATATTAATTCTGTGAGTACTACACTCTTAAGGAGTCAGCTCCTTTAAATTAGTGCTATAAAGAATTATCCTTTGTCTTTTCTTCCTGTATCGATAGGTTTACTTTTGTTACAGGCCCTCTTATACCTTTCTAATGTTCCTGAAACACAAATAGAATTACTGCTCACCTTTTGTAGGAACAACATGGCATCCCCATGTGAACGCTGGGGTGTTTCATCTCAGTTTTTAATTCTGTGTCTCATAACTTGCTTTGTGTGTGCTTGCAGGGGTCTGTGAGACCTTTGAGCTAATCCCAGTGGCATCATGCTGTTGTTAATGATAATGATCCTACTGTCATCAGGGTTCCCTTCACAATAAACGACACTGTACACTTTGGTGGCTCGTGTGCAGCTGTTTTCATTACAGAAATCACCTTCTATATTTGCCTCTTGAACTGAGTTGAAAAAGTAGTCAGGCAGACCTAGTAGTTCGTAGTTGTTATGTAGAACGGGAAGTGAGAGCTAAATTGTGGGAGTGTCATGTGAGCTGGTTAATTAGTCACCTGTGAAATTTATATAGTAGCTCTTGTGCTTTTGCAGCCAGTACTTACTTAAGTACTGCTTGTAAGCTTGCCATGTCCTCTTATCATGTGATCTCGCTCACGTGATATGAAATATTTTGCTTCTTGATTTCTAAATGAAAACTGATACTCCCAAATTATGTAATACCCATAAACTCAGAGCATTGACATGCCCAGACTTTCATATGAGGAATATAAATTAGTAAGGATTTATAATGCCATATTTATAGATCAGTGTGCAAAGAATAAAAAGCTTAATAATTTTTTATTAAAAATGCTAAAATGCATGTATTAAGGAAGGGACAAAAGGAGACATTATTGAAACCTTGGAGCTTAACATATTCTATAAATTAATATTTAGGAATATAAAGTTATATTCTAATGTTAAAGAGGACTGTCATCAGTTTTGGAGACAGCGTATTTTTAGAAATCTTAGATGGTATTCTTTTTCCACAGAGATCAGCTAGAAGAATATATTCTTCAAAATTACCACTACAGTAGCCATAACATGCGAAGACAATTTAATCATTTGGGCTGATGCTAGATTGTGACTAGCTAAATCCAGACTTAAACATTTAAAAAATACTTTAGGACAAACTGTTGCCCATGAAATTAATATCTTGATACTGATCTTACCCAAATTGACTTTTAAGGAGTTTTGACAGTGGTGGTTATAATTAGCATCTTGATGGCTGTACTCTTACTCAAAAAGTGATTTGGGACTTTGATACCTTTATGACTCCCAACATTTCCAACAACTTTTCTTAGCCTGTGTACACAAGAGAGCTACTAGCTAATGGGGGATATGATATCTGGCTTTTTCCTCTCCTCAAAGAAGACACTCCATCCACTGCCACTGTACCTTTTTCTGTTCTTTTTGTCTTGCACAGAAGACTGGCATCTTCCTGTGAAGGGCTTGTGGCAAACCTATCCAACTCGGGGTTCTTCCTCCTTGAGAACGGTCTGATCCATCATCACCTGAACCAGGGATCACAGTCTAAGGGTCCAGGTGAGGGCAAGGCAGTCAATGTGTTAAGCCAGTTTCTTTTCTGGTCAGGTAAGTCACACTCAGGCATTGTCTCTCGCTTCAGTCAGCCTTAGCTTCTTAGTGACTTCCAGGAAGAGAAACACAATTCACACACACCCCCACCAGTCACCCAGTCGTTCAGAAATCTACCTCAACTCCTCAGGAGTTGTTGTCATTTAAAAATTTTTGCTGCAGAGTGTGATCATTTTCAGTGTTGATTCTAGACATTAACAGAGTGATGCTTGAAGACAGGCATGCACACAAATACGTAGATGTAGGAGTTAGTACTCATCCTTGTCCTCAGTGGTAATGAGCTTGAAGAGTTTGCAAGTTAGAATCAGTCGAACGGCCATGACCTTGTGCCTTTATGGCTTTAATTTCTTTTACTTTTCCCTTGCAAATGGATTGAAATCAGAAGGAAGTCCAGAATAATATGGCTGTACCATCATCATCAGGATCATCTTTGTTGGCGATTCTCTTATTTAATCAGAACGGTTAGGAGGCAGGATTTCTCTGTGGCATGGAGATGAGAAAGAAACCAGGATTGCTCTCTACAAGTGCTCTCAGCTAGTTGAAGTCTGGGTTTGCAGCTTGATGTTGTCTTATAACTTTGGAGGTGAATTGTGGTTTATTTCTTAAAGGTTGTTTTGGATTTTTTTTGATTTTTGATTTTTTTTTTTTAATTAAAGGGGGAAATCTACTTTTGGTCTCAGAGTTCTTCAGAAGGTTCAGTTTTTTATAAATGCTGAATTGCATATGGTAGCAAGTTTTCGGTTTGTTTCATCCTGATGACGTGTGGATAAATTGTGGGGTGGTGGGAGCATCTCTGAAATGTTCTGTGGTTTTGCAACTTGATGACATATAAATGTAGATTCCTTTTCTTGTATTGGCTAATTCTCCAGATGCTTCCTAAGTACCGCAGCCTCTGGTGAGAAAGGGTTGTCTTGTTCTAAGTGTTCTTGTGTCTCCCTGTATTGCTGACTTCAGAACTGAGTTTTTATTATTTAGAAAACTCTAAATTTTAGCAAGAGTGTTTGCTTTTCTAGGCTGGTAGAACTTGGTTTTGTGTCAATCCCAGCAGGTTAGTGTGAACAGACAGATCTTTTTTTAAAAATATAAATCACAGGTTTCCCCACCCACACACAGCACTAGCTGATATTAACCCCGTTTCTGTCTACTTGGCTTAGTGTAGTGTGTACAGATGGTTAGTAGACATTTATTGGATATTTAAGGTCTTTGGACAGTGTCTCTTTTGAACAGAAAGGTTCTGAGCTTCAGAATCTAATGAAAGTTATTTCCCACTAGATGACTCCTTTAAGATGATTAGATTCCTATACATACATCGTGTTGAGTATGTAAACATAGCCTAACCCAATCATGTAAATATATAAAGTAATTGAAGTGCTTAGAAATTTGAGTCTTATTACTAAGCTAGAGTGTTGTGCATATTTTATTGAATATTACAACTGTGTTATGACAAACGCACCGGGCATGTTTTAGAGGCTGCAGAGCAACAACACAGATGTCCCTTGTGCTCCTAAGCTAGGTAAATTGAATACATTGTTGAAAAATTGTAATTTTGAAGAAACTTGAAAGCTGTTAATGAAACGTGGATTATGTTAGACTGGCTTGGGAGTGTTTGCGCCCGGAGTGTGAAGTTGATAGTGACCTTGCCCATTTTGTCTCTGACTTTTACCTTTCATATAATCTCACTTTTACAACCAGTGCTGTTTTGAGTTGTGGGCATATGTAAACTTTGGACATTTTCATATTTCTTTTATGAAGCCCCCAAAATATCCATTTAATTAAGAATGAACTAGAATTTAGAGATTTCAAAGATTGTTTTATCCACGTGTGGTGATAATGCCTGCAGCCTTTACTTTTATGTAGAGCTGACTGTGAGCACACATTTAAAAACCTTGCTTCAACAAAGTAAAATTTAAAAAATCAGCTTTAAGTCTTTAAAATAGCAGAACCAGATGGTGTTTACCATCCCCTTTCCGTGCTGTCACGGGGCGCATGTGTTAGAGAGGCAGCTGCTGTGCATGTGAGGAGCACAGACAAAACACAACAAGAAGTATGAGTTTGCCAAGAAAAAAATAAATAATTGATTAATTACAAATACAGTAGTTGACCGTGGAAGTCTTTGATACACATTCCCAGTATTCATTGTTCTTCCTAAGACTGTTTTATTGAAACACCACCAGCCTGGTGGCCTTTAAATGTGATAAATTGTATATAAATTGAAGTTACCAGAAAAAAGAAAAGTCATCTATCCTAAAGAATCTATAAGCCCCAAACTTTTAATTATTGAGAATTAAACTTTTGCAAGCCAGAGCCAAAGCATCTTGGGCTGTTTTTAGACCTTATGAGAAGCATTCATTGTCTATGCTGTGTTTAACCTAACATCCTTATAACTGTGGAACCCTTTCGCTGTATTTGTAGAAGACCATTAGCTTCTACCATTCAAAACCTAGGAATGTCATCAGACACCCCTGAAATCTGTAATAGCATTTCCTTACTTTACCATAACCCTCCGACCCATGGTTTGCCCCAGTCTACCTAGCAAATGCTTCATTTCTGAATGTCTTTGTTCTGAAACTAATACAGTCTCAAAGCTGCTTCCAGACAATAGCTTGACTTTCGGGGAAATTTGAATTCATGTTTCTGCACCAATGTCACTCATATTTAGCTTATGAATAAATTCCCTTCTCTTCCCTTTGAGATAAGAGCTGTATGTTTTTTACATCAGCGTGTTTGTCACATAAGGCAGAAGCTGGGCCCTGACATTACAAAGGTGATTTCTTGATGGGTTCCTTCTCCTTGTTTTCTGCCCACTCAGGATTTAATTGTATTACTGTATAAAGCATTAACATTAAGATTGTCTTTTACATTTTGATGAGTCTATTTTCTTCATCTGAAAAGCTAGAAGAGAAAAGGGAGAGAGAGCAATGAGTGCTATTTCTTCAATGAAGCTCTGTAAGTGAGTAGTTTTGAGTTGGGGTTCTCCGCTCTTGCTTTTGTTTGAACTGTGTCTTCTATTAACTCAAAGCGATGTCTATGCTGCTATTATTTCTAACATAATTTCCTCCCCTTGGTTGGTCTGCTTGATGGCCACTAATGTCTCAAGTTAATAACCACAGAATACTTCAAAAATGTGCTGTGTACTTCATAAAATGTATCTGTGGTTGCTAAAATATTTTTTTGCTTAGAACATCCAAATATAGTTGGCTGTAAAATTATATATTGTTAGAAAATGCTGCTTAAAACAAACAAACTGATTTACTTTCTGTTCTGGAAATATTCAGAAGGATTTGTTATCTCTTGCAGACCTTTCTGCAAACTACTAATGGGATGAACACAATATATCACTTTTATAATAGTGAGCTATTAAAGGCAAGCATAAAGCAGTCTGAAGCCCATAAGTGCTGCCAACAGCTCCTGCTTTAATGAATTCCCTTTTAGATGTCCATTAAATGCTCGTGGCAAATGTACTCATAATGGAAATGGCAAATCTAAATGGGTAGATATGAATAATCCATGGAGTTTAAATTCTGTTTATGATCATCTTCACATTTAGTTTTCAAGACAACGCAGTTTAGTTTTCATTACAGTTTGGAATAAAGAGGACAGGGAGTAATTGATTGCTTCAAGCAGATTAAAATCAATGGTTTTCTTTTCAAAGAACCAGTTCAATGCAGTAATTCCAACTTTAAACATTGATTTAGGGTACTCAACACAAAATGTTTTGTGCTGTGTGAACTTTTATATAGAAAGACTCATATTAATTTTATTTCCCTATATATCTATATAGTGAAATATAGAGCTTGTTAGGAGCATGTGCATGACTTAATAGTGATCTATATTAAGTCATTTTGATATTATTGCAGTCATATAATGAATCAATGAGATTCCCGTCATCACCGTAATACTGTTTGTAACCCATTAGCACAGAGAAATTACAACCCATCATACATCATTACTGTGATTGAGGCTTTATTACCATATTCTCAAATTGCTTGCTTGCTATAAAACTAAACAGACACAAGGCAACTATAGGTGGGATATAGACAGCACATTATTGTGCTATAGTAATGGGTGTAAACTTATGTGGAAAACACTGCTGCCAGCAATAGAAACTCAGACTTTATTACTGTAAAGGTCAAATTATGTTTCAGGTTATTTTTTTATATTGCATGAATCATATTTTAATGATTTCTTAAGATCTTTTCCCTCTTATTGTATCCTTTCAAAGACAGGTTTTAAGTACTTTGAATGTTCTAGACTGGTGTTGGAATCTACCTTTTGCCATTTGTGAGGTTAGACATTTTACCATCAGCCTGGCATGGTGTTAAGGGTAACGGGGGAGTATTCTCTTGGTTCCTAGTTGATAAAAGGAATAAATGCAGAGCTGTCCTAAACAGTGAAGGGTGGATGGAACCGCCTGGGCCCAAGTGTAAGGGACTTCTAGTATTTCAATGAAGTGTTTTATCCACTTGAATTTGTTTGTCCTCTGGAGTCTATTGTGTGACACTGACAGCATTGCTTGGAGCCACTAGAGTGCACTTCAGAGATGGCTCACCTCTTTGGTGGACTTAGAACTGCCTTCTGCGGAGTTGCATCCTGATCTATATGTTCCTACAGTATAGAACCTAACAACATAAACATCAGACAATATACAAATTAGACAATAGGATTAGCATAAAATTTACTCATGATGACAAAACATTTTACCAATATATTTTTAGCCAGAGAAACCATAACTACCTGGAAAATTTTAAAAAGACAGCAGTCCAAAAAGGAACTTTATTCTCAAATCGTAATGTCCTTAGAAGCCATTTACACACTACTCTTGGGATTGTCATAGTATAATTACCACACTGTGTGTAAAGCATATTGTTTTAGTTTGCAACATAGGAGTTGTGGATAGAAAACCTGAATGCTTGTAAGACTATGTCTTTATTGTAAGGAGGGTGCTACATGAT